TGTGTGTGTGTGTGTGTGTGTGTGTGTGTGTGTGTGTGTGTGTGTGTGTGTGTGTGTGTGTGTGTGTGTGTGTGTGTGTGTGTGTGTGTGTGTGTACGAACCAGCCCCAAGGTTTATGATTTAACTTCATTACAGTGTTTCAATTCCCCTAATAAACCAGAATTTTAAGGATCCCGAGTTGGACATTTGTAGCCAACAGGTTCTGCCCCTGCTGCACATGTCCAGCATTAAGCCATGACTAAAAAAAAAAATAATCCTTTTTCCTTCATTCCGTCTTCCCCAAGCTAGGCGTATATCTTATTTGAGGGCATGAGGTATGCACGAAAATATGGTAAATACAGAACCTTTAACTTTCTTTATAACCACTGACAGTGTAAATTATTTTTGAATGGTACTGAAGAGCTAGGTTCACACAGACAAACGCATCTAATTGTTAATTTCTTCTACAGCAGGGGTGGGCAAAATAGAACACACAGGCCAAATGTGGTGTGCCAACTGATTGGATCTGGCCCGCAGGGGGGGTGATCCACCTGGGGCTAAGCCCTCTCTGGGGCAACCTATGACATGTACCAGCCCACGCCTACAAGCCCCCTCATCTCCAGCAGCGGCTCATCTTGTTCCTGCTGTGCTGCTCCAGGCCAGGAGGAAGTTTCAACCGGGTGGCTCCTACCCCAACGTACAGGGCTTCACCTCTAGCTCTGACTGCCTTCAACCCACTCTGCCTGCCGAGTGGGTGGAAGGCAGCTGGAAGCTGCAGCTGGAGCCACGTTTGATGGGCCAGGAGCCGCCTGGCTGAAGCTCCTCATTGCCTTCCACCCACTCGAGCCACCTGCACCTGATGGGCGGAGTGGGTGGAAGGTGGTCAGGAGCTGGAGCCAGAGCCTGAGCCCCAGGTGCTAGGGCAGGAGCTGCCCAGCTGAAGCTTGCTCCTGACACAGAGCAGTGCAGCAGGAGCAGCCGCTGCTGAGAGTGAGGGGAGCCAAGCAACACCTAAGTGGCTACAGCCACACTAGGAGCAGCCCCCATCAGTAAGCTGTGCATGCTGGCTGGGGCCAGGCTGGTGGGCACAGGCACAGCATGGCACAGGCAGCCCTGGGCAGGGTTCAGCCCATGCAAAGTGCCACAGGGACTCTGCTGTATGTACTCCCTGCCCCCTCCTCATTCCCCTGCTGGCTCCCAGGACCTAGTGCCCAGGCAGCCCCCCAACACATGCCACCCACGTACTCCATACTCCCCTACAGGGCAGGGGCTGCTAGAGCTCTTTTTCACTAGAACTGGAGAATGCAAAAGGTTATTCTTCCTCTCCCACTTGCAGTCAATAGGTTATTCCTTCTTGACTACTTCCAGCCAAGTACTTTTCCTACATCTTCAAAGAAACATCTTCTCTAGTATCAGGAACCTGTTTTCACTAGTACAAATGAGGCAGCTGACATATGTTTCAAGTAATGTGGCAAAGTCTAAATGGGCCTTCACTAACCTGATATTTCACACAGGCTGTCAGTTCACTCATTCACAGTGTTTCATAAAATTAGGAATAAGACCTTAAAATTATCTTTTGCCTTTTTAAATGAGAGCATAGATTAGGTGGAAGAAGAGATAAAGGGCAGAGCAAAAGAAGGGAAAAAATCTTACTTAATTTCTTAAGGACATCTTTTTTCTCCTCCTCTTTTTCTTGAGCTAGTTCGTCTGTTACTTTAGTCTCTTGCTTTGGTAAAAGATTACTTAGGTAATTCATAGCATTCAGAAGTGCTTCAGTATGCAAATGAACATCCAAGGAAGAGAAATTCACCTAGAAGAAATTATATTTATTGGGAGTATATTTTAAAAGTATACAAATCAAAGTATGTATCATACCTCAAATGAAAGTCATACCTTTAACAACTGTAGAACATTCTTATAAGTAGTTTTCAGCTCTGGTCCATTAATATCAGTCTATTTCCCCACAGAGGGAGGGAAAAAAAGAGAATAAATAAAACATTGCAAGCCTCATACAGAAAATTCACTGAAATAAATATTTATTTACCACAGGTCAAAATTAACTATGAAATGCATTTTTTTTAATATTGTACATGTAAGCAGTAGAGACTAGTATATACAAGTTAACAAAAATTCAAGAAAATATGCATCTAAGTACTACTACTAAAGGCTTGCAAATCAAAGTTAACTTTTTGGTTTTCTTACCTTTATGTACTCCAGTGTAAGAAGATCATCCTCTGTGTTATCCAAAGTTGTAATGATATACACAGGTTTGTCATTGTCATCTTTAAAAAAGAAAAAATACATCTGAAATGACGTGTGTTACATTTTCCGTCAAGAAAAGGCAAATAATTGCAGATGTCTGCAAGTACTCTGATCACGTACAAAAACATTTACATAGTAATAAACCTGACCTTCAGCTTTATTTGTGTGTGTCTGATCAGTAGCAACTCACTGGCCCCAAAATAACTAGGCCTTTCTATTAATAGTAGCAGCACTGAAATAGTTAATGGCAACATTTGGATTTTTATCATTATGCTTTAGAGGTAAAACCACACTGTGATGAACCAAAGCAGAACTGGACTGCAAACCAGATACAACTGAATACAGCCATGTTTTCTTGCAAATTTTTCCTTGAAATTATTTGAGCCAATGAAGTGTAAGATTTTGCACAAAAACAGTGCAACTAGTCTGCATACAGACTCCATCTTTTCCATGATCAGTAAATCTATCAATAAAAGATACAGAATGATAAAAAATTAAGGTTGGAAGGGACCACAGGAGGTCATCTAATCCAACCCCCTGCTCAAAGCAGGACCATCCCTAATTAGATCATCCAGGCCAAGGCATTGTCTAGCAGGGTCTTAAAAATCTCCAAGGATGAAGACTCCACAATCTCTGTAGGTAACCTCTTCCAGTGTTTTACTACCCTCCTAATGAAAAAAGTCTTCCTAATATCTAATCTAAACATCACTTGCTGCACCTTGAGACTGTTGCTCCTTGTTCTGTCATCTGCCACCACTGAGAATATGTGGTATATGAAATATAAATGCAATTCTCATTACAGTTACAATCAAGTCTCTTACAAACATAAATCAGGTTCATGAGAGCTTGCTTCTGGAAGTAATGTTAAATTCAATCTGGCTCAGAAATAGAGGATTTTATGAATGACAATGTAAAAGAAATATTTCCTATGATTTTTTTCTCCCCCTCCTCCTGTTTAAATTAATTATGTGCTTGAGGAACAGAAATGGCTATTACCTGACAGCAGGAAAGTAGATAGGCTTCTCGAGAGTTAAATTCTTTAACATTTTAATGATATTACTCAATTTTTGATCATAAAGCAGATATTTACCTATGTACTCTGGACATAACAGACAGACTTCTCTAAGAAAAGCATGTGCAGACATATCAAACGTTCTTAGTTTAAGTTCAGTGCCTAATCCTATAACTTTTAGCTGCAACACAGGCTTTTGAGTATCATCATCATCATCATCAAGACGACGCAACTGAATTAAGACCTAAAGAAAAAGAACAACATAAGGCAAGTGATAATTATAACACATTGTAAAAACAGTTGCATTAGAGTTTGCATACAGCAAATAACAAATTCAAATATAATTTTATTCTTTCAGACAGAAGAAGTTGCAGCAAAAGCTCTGTAAATGATTGCAGCAATATTTGGAAAGCAAAAAGTTGCAAGTTAAAGTAGGAGAAAGTACTCCGAGATTTTTTTGAGCTGAAGAAACAGGAAGTGATAATATCAATAAGGATTGCAGAATAGCTGGAATCCTAGAAGTGACACAAACAAACAAAACGGTGAAGGTGAAACAGCACATTTATAAGTAGCATATATTTACCAGAACGAGACATACCTCAGGTATTTCAAATTTCAATTGAAGGTCTGTCATATTCTTCAGTGATTCTTGCTTATGTAACTTTTTTTTTCTCGTGCTGTTCGCTCTGGTGAGGGAGCCAGATGATGCTTCAAAAAATGGCATGTCTTCTACAGGACTACTTGGAGCATCATAAAATTCTTCTTCGGATTCTAAATATTAAGTTACATTAACAAATTCTTAACTTCAGTCGACATTATAATATGCAATAATATGATCAGTAATTTCTTTGAAATGACATCTATAAACAATTACATGTACATGTCTATATGGTATCCTTGACAAGCCCAGGACCACTAGAGAAAAATAAGCCTCATCTTCCCATTTATTCACAGACCTACCCTCTCCCCAATACCAAGCCTGATAGACAGTTAGGCAGAGCAGACAGCTAACATCTATCTTCAATGAACATTGCAGCACTGCTCTCAGGTTCTTCCAAGGAAGAAGTAGCAGGGGGCATCTTTAAATACTGGGAAAATTTGTAAGCTATATCATGTTAACAATTTACAAAACAAGACATTAAAAATGACTGGTCCCCTCACAATCTATCTGGTCTGATCCTGCAGAATCAGGATTTTGGGTTCTCTCACATCACACTAGTTTCTACAACAATCATTTCACTGCAAAATAATACAGGAGAAAATGAGGCCCAGAGGAGAACCCTAAAACAAAAAGATATATTTTTCAATTGCAAAAGTTGTTCATTTTGCATAAACTACTCCTCCCTCCACAAACATTTTTTTAAATTTGAGAATACTGTTATAAAAAAAACAAAAAAAACAACCCCTGACACTTGCTACTGATTACAAACTTCCCAGTTGCTTTTCTACAAACATACTACCATTTGAAACTTACTTTAATGTATTCCTATATTTTTTCCCCATTTAAAAACATTCTTAGTCAACATTCAAATGAAAATAAAATCTACAATAAGTTCTCACACTCTTGAATACAAATTAGAGCATGAAGGAAGCAGGGATCCCATAAAGGATATGTGAAAAATTCCATTTTCTGTTTGCTAATATAGACACAGAGAACGTTAGACTTTTTGGTATGGGAAAAATATTAATCCACTTCAAATTATTCTATAGGTTACTCGTGCCTCTATCACTTTTTGCCTGTGATACAGAGAAGAGCATGCATCTGAGCCGGAAGTGCATTGTGCTCAGGATACAACTAATTCAGAATGCCACAACACATTTCAGCACTGTCACAGCCTACTGTAAGGACACTGAACCTGTAACTCTCTCTCCACACTGGCTTCCTACACAATTTAAAATCAAATTCTAAGTCTTGATTGTCATCTTCAAAGGGATCCATAACCCAGGGCTAGGAAGTCTCAAAAACTCCCTAGCGCTCCAGGATTAAGCCTGATAAACAAGTAATTTATCTGGCACAATGTAACTGTACAGCAATAGCAGAAGTAGCCTATGCAAGGGATGATACAAGACTTGACTGGACTCCCCCATTGAGTAAAGGCTACCACAAACTTCACCACCGCCCTATCCAACTACAAGGCATTTTCTATTTCAAATGCAAAGCCTTATATATGTTAACAAACAAAATAATCAGAGTTGTTGGGGTCTGATATCGATAGCCGATTTTAAGGAGGCATATCGGCTGATACCAATCCAATTTCCAATATAGCTGCTTCCAGCTGGTAAGTCTGTCATGGTGAAAGGGGAAGGGGAGGGAAGGGGTGTGGAGAGGCATATTAAGGCTCCTGAAGTGAGGGAGGAGTGGGGCTGGGACTACCCAACCAGGGTGTTGTGGGGTTCAGCTGGACCCACAGCTCATCGTGGGGGCGGGAAGGGGGGCGTGGGGCGCCTCCCATTGCTGCGCGCACCTGGAAGGGCATGGGGTGGTAACTGATGATCCACCCATGCCCTCCTGGGGTGCATGCAGCAGCAGGAGAACCCCTGCCCCGCACCCCCCAGACGAGTCGCGGCTTCATCCTGCATCTGCCCTGGCTGGGCAGCCCAAGCCCCTCCCTCACCATGAGGAGTGTTGATTTGCCACCCCACACCCTTCCCCTCCTCCCTCCCCTTCCACCACAGCAGACTTACCAACTACATGCAGCTCTCCAAGCTGCCGAGCTGTGCTCCTTGCTGTCTATGTGCTGCGCTGGAGCATTTATTGGCTACATCAGGCCGATTTCTGATGCAATCAATTTTCTTTATATTGATGCCGATCCAACATTGGACCGATGTATTGGTGCACCTCTACAAGATACAAATTGCTAATCAGGGAGCCAGGTTTTCTGTTTCCTGCAGAAAACCATGGAAAACTGTGGATTTTCCCCTTTGACGCAGGAAACCACAGGTTTCCCCTTGCAGGGTAGTAGATTCATAAATTCATAGATGTTAGGGTTGAAGGGACCTCAATAGATCATCGAGTCCAACCCCCTGCATAGGCAGGAAAGAGGGCTGGGTCTAGATGACCCCCGCTAGATGCATACCCCACC